TCTATTTAAGAGACTCGAAATAGAGTGAAGTGAAACTCCTTTTTTCCGAGTCTTTTATTGACTCAAAGAAAAAAAATGTGTCATAGCTTTTACATTTTCAGCTTTAGAAGAAGCGAATCGTCTCATCCTCACGACGCTACGGCTGTTGATTGTACAAGTTTTGTGACCATGCTTCCCGAAAATTCCCACGTTATCTCTCGCGTTCTTATCACCGTCGTATTTACGAGTATCCCAGCGATTAATAGTCTCGCTTACACGAGACAAGGCCGATAGATTCGATTCGTACGCGTGACCTCGACGTATGTATACAATCACGTGCTTGGCGTGCGAATATACACACGAGAGAGAGAGAGAGAGAAAGAGAAGGATAAGGTCGGATCTACAAAATAGGTGTAGTAAACCTTTAGCCTCACGCATCGAGAAATAGAGAGAGAGAGAGGATCTTGAACCCATAACCGGCTTTGTGGGTGTGACTGACTCATAGTACTACAGTCCATTTACCATACGCAAGTATTCGTAGTACTCTCCCTTTATCCCCCTCTTCTACTTTCTTTTGCATCTCCTTTTCCTCTTCTCTCTCTCTCTCTCTCTCTCTTCCCTTTTTTTTCCATCCTTTCTCTTCATCACACCGTTTCAAAAGTTGAGAAACGAGATCCCGTAATACACGACCCAAAAGTTACACGATTATACATGCATATATATTCTATCTATTTATACGTACGTAAAATACATGCCGCGATATAGGATGCGCAAAGAAAATACGTGTACACTAAGAAATTGCATTAGCAGATTTAGAAAATTAATTTCTCTCTAATATTGGTAAAAGGTCGATGATTCTCTCCCCTCGTCTTGTCAACGTCATCTTTTTGGAATGTTTACCCTTATCCGCTAAATTTAATCATTGAATCGTTCTCGAATATAAACAAAGGCTAACTTTTCGATTCTGTAATTCTGTGATTAATTGTTAATTTTTCAGCAGTGGTATCGCGAGAGAAAAACTAGGTAGCTGGCTAGCTATGTGTGTGTTGTTTCCACGACACTGTGTATATATTATGACTCGAGCGATGCCTGCGATAGTCCGGTATACTATGTATATATATATATATGTATGCCGAGTTATCAGCCGTATCAGGGAGAAGGGAGAGCGAGTAACTGAACCTGTGCACGATGCATGGCGCATCGTGTAGTACTATACTCTCTACAATGCATTCGTAAACTCCATAATAATAACTACAGCAGGCATAAAAGAAGCGGAATAAAATACACAATGGCTTGTATAGGGAATCTAAGTTTATTTAGAGTTCAATTAACGTAATTACGTAAACTATAACGTGAGAAAAAGTGCATATCTTATTCTCTTCTTTTTACTCGATTTTACTGTTATCTATACTAGTTTCATGTGACACTCTAATAATAATAATAATAATGCATTAAATATAATAGTAATTTAAAATAATCAAGCGATAATAATTTATAAAAATCAAGTAATTAAGAGGATTAATAAAGTTTTGGGAAAATATTTACTATTAATTTGTATTATTTACTGTTTCGTATTTTTGTAAAAAAAAAGGACTTGCGCCGATCTCTTTCATTTTTTGGAAAATTTCTTCGCTCGATTTAGCGATTCGTATTAAAGAACGTCCCATGCCCGGATTATCTTGCCGGAGATGAGTTAATCTCTTTGAATGAGAATTCTCTCTCTTGCGGAGAGAAGAAAAAAAAAGAATAAGTAGAGAAGAGACCTCTGAAGAGTCAAGGCGAAGAAGAGAAGAGAGGAAACGCATACTGGCGCATTATTCTTGGCAGACGTCGTAGGCGCAACTTTCCTCTCTTTCCGCCCTCCTCCCCCCCCCCTCCCTCTCCCTTCCGCTCTTTCCCATCGCGGAAGAGAAGGGTAACCGAGTGCATCTAGATACTCGAACCAGACTTGAAAACTGACGAAAATAAAACGAGAGGTCCAAGGTTACATTATACGTTGTGATCCGCCGAGGGTGAAGGACCAACGGTACCAGACGAACGCATATGTTCGCATCTCTTAATACCGCTCTTGATTACTCCACCTCTCCTCCCGTCTTTCTCTACAGGGTGATCCGAAAAAGTCGCTTCTCGTTTCGCGATCCTGATGACGATTCGATTTCCATCATCAATAAGGGATGAGGCAAAATCGCAAGATCTTTCGCGCGATCCTCGATTCTAAAAATTACGGAATATATGTTAGATCATTATAATAAAAACACGATCCTAGATTATGATCCTCGATGTTTAGGGCAGTCAAAGTTAATTGAGGAATTGTGAGACAAAGGAGCAGCCTTAAAGAAAAATAGTCGCTTCTTACCCGTATTTAAATCACACGATGTCGGATGGTCGTTCCACCTCGATTCGCCGTTTCTCTTGTGAAACCAACTTCCGATAAGCGTACTCTTACCTCGGGTATTAATTGTTCGATTGTGTATGCGTTTCCTTTCGGATATTTTTGGGATAATCTGTGCAAAATATATCCCAGTCAGCCACATCTGTTCTAACAGATATTGCCAAGTGCTTGCTACAAATTATTGTTATCATCATTTTGTTACTTATGGTTGAGACTTTAAATCCATTTAAATATACTATTTTATATGAATGGCCATAAGCTGCAGAATTTGTTCGGTTTTTGCTGACAATCTGCTGTCAGATTGTCTTGCGCAGATCTTGCTCGATTTTTGCCACCAATTTGACGTCAAATCATGTCAAGCTTTGCTCGTTTTTTGCCGTCAATTTGCTGTCAGGTTATGTTAGCAAGCTTTGTCACCAAAACACAAGCTTAATGCGGACACAGATGGCACTGGATTTGTTACCAAGTTTTGAGCGAATTTGATGCCAATTTGGCAACAATTTGTTATCAAATTGCTTACTGGGTATTATATAATATTTTTCATCGTTTAAAGGAAGAGAATTTGCTGTATACGAACATATTAAGACAAGAAAAAAGATCTGTTTACCTGTTTTTATTATTAATATGCTTAACATATTAAATGCAAAGTATACTTATGTCAACAGCCATGCTTAAAATAGTAGATATATGCAAAAAAAAAAAAAAAATGCAATCAACTTAAATATCTGAACATCGAAAAATCTAGTAATTGAAAAATTTGAATGGAAAAAATTAAATTCTCTCAAAAAGAAATCGGGAAAGTATCGACAGAATATACCCAGATCTATCGAAAGCAGATCATGCCAAGTATCTGTTATCAACTATTGTCAACAAAAAAGCTACACATTTGATAAGAAGTTGTTATTATCGATTAAATCGACAAATCGGTGCCAAAAATCGAGCAGAGCCTGCTTATAAAGTCTGACAACAGATTGATGGCAGGAACAGAGCAGGATTTGCGCGCGCCCGTAATCTTCTTTGCCTATCATGTTCCCGATATCTCAGAATTTAAATTTATGTAAGTATCGGTAAGAGACCAAAGGTTGACCCTGCAAGGCAAGTTTTTTTAGTGGGTGCGAGTCATACCCAATCGGACCAGTCAGTGGGGATGCATAAGAAATTTTTTTATTCCTTCGCAACAAAAAAAAAAAAAAAAAAAAAAAAATTCCTTGAGTACCAATAAAATTACATGAGAATTTCCTAA